GCCATCTCATGAGAAGAGAAGACTCCTTGGAAAAGACCTTGATGTTGGGAAAGTGTGAGAGCAAGAGGAGAAGGGGACGACAGATGATGAGATGGTTGGACAGGGTCATCGACGCGACCAACATGAATTTGACACAACTCCAGGATGCAGTGGAAGATAGGAGAGCCTGGCGTGCTCTGGTCCATGGGGTCACAAAGAGTCGGACACAAATAAACGACTAAACAACAACGTGTGTCTTCATGCAAATTGTACCCCCCCATGTCGTACCTGTATGTTGTAAGTACAGTGGTGCCTTGCAAGACGAAATTAATCCATTCCAGGGTTAATGTCATCTTGCGATATTTTCGTCTTGCGAGCTGCGGTTTCCCATAGGAATGCATTGAAATGTAATTAATGTGTTCCTATGGGAATTCTGGAAAAAGCAGTTAGGGAGCTGGGGAAGCACCATCAGAGGACTGGTGGGGGGCCCCCTCGCCTGGATTATCAAACAGGAAAATAATGAAACAAGGTTTAACATCATAATATCTTGACAAACCAATATACTGATATGAAGTAATAATGGATAAAACACTCTATGTCTAGCCCATATAGAGCAATTGGTAATCATTCTTAGTTATGTGTATTAGAATGGGATATGTAGTCCTAAGATTGTCCCAATAGCATAAAAACACAAATCATCACACTCCCTGCCTTCGATAAGGCTTGGAATGGAAAAAGGGGAAAAAAGAAAGCCTTTGGAGCCTTACCACTCACCTGGAGGGACACCCGCCAGTCTTCCGATGCTGCAAGGGAAGCACTGGGATCCCTCCGAGCCGCGCTTACAGAGGTTTGTCTAGCCCAGTTTTTGAAATGCGCACCCTTTCTCCCTGCCTTCGGTAAGGCTCCGAATGGAGAAAGTCTTTCTTTTTTTTTTCCTTTTCTGTTCGGAGGCTTGCTGAAGGCAAGGGAAAGGGGTGCATCTTCAAAAATTGTGGTGGGCTAGCCTCTGCAAGCACATTCGTTGTGTAAAAAACAGCCATAGGAAGAATCCTCTTAGCGAGGCACCAAAAACCTCGCCGGACCCTTTCGTCTAGCTTTTTTTTTTTCTCTGGCAAGGCAATTGTCTTGCGAGGCACCACTGAATTATGTTAGAGAGTATAAGATAAGATGAAATGAATGGAACACATTGTAATAAATCACTCTGTTTGCAAAGGATAGAAAAGTAGGAAAAATACAATAAATATTTATTTAAAAAAGAATGAGTAATCATAGAGAAGGGTGGATCCTTCTTGTAGATTATTGTTATCATAAGAAGAAATAATAGTTATTGACATAGTATGTGAAGTCCTATAATAACGTATAGAGTGCTTTACAGAGTTTCTTAAGCATAAAGGGTCCTACTTGGTCCAGTGTGCTTCTGCTTCTTTGTTTGTGAACCTGCCTCTGAGGTTCAGCCTACCCTGTTTCCCCAAAAATAAGACCTACCCTGAAAATAAGCCCAAGTATGATTTTTCAGGATGCTCGTAATATAAGACCTACCACAAAGATAAGCTCCAGTTGAGTGAAACCCCGCCCTCCACCATTGTGCAGCAAGCAGAAGATGATGACAGGAATGTATTTGCATAAATGTAGATGGTTGTACATGAAAAAATAAAACATGCCCTGAAAATAAGCGGTTTTTTGGAGCAAAAATATATAAGACCCTGTCTTATTTTCGGGGAAATGCGGTACTTTCCACTGTCAGCGGATAGTAAAGGAGTTAGGACCTATACCAAACCTCCTTCACATTTGTCTGATTGACATCATATCGTTTAATCATTAAGTTTGGGTCTGAGACAGCAGACAACAAGGCTAGTTCTTGTATGGCAGACCATCTTGGACCTGTTCCTCAAGCTTTTTCTTTTCTGGCCCATATATGCATGCATACATAAGCGTGCTCTGATCTCCAGTGGTTCTTTTCTTTCTGACGTAGGTGCAAGATTTTGGCTGGCCAGACCTTCATGCTCCACCGCTGGACAAGATCTGCTCCATCTGCAAAGCCATGGAGACCTGGCTACACTCTGACCCCCAGCATGTGGTCGTCCTTCACTGCAAGGTACAGGGAGAAAACTGACAGCCTTTACTGCCACTGCAGAGGTAGATTTATTGGGGCATGATGGGGACAGAAAAGAGGTGACAAGAGGCTGAACGTGAAACTGGGAAGAGGGTGCCTGTATTCTAATAATCATGAACTGGGTCTTCTGTGTATCCCGAAACTGTAACTCAGAAGGTCCTGCGGCAAAAGTAGCTTAGCAGCAAGGGCTTGTGGCTTGTCAGTGTCATTGCCTTGCGGAATGGACCTTCTGCACTCCATTTAAGGTGGAAGTAGACAAAGTCTGGCCTGCATTTTGTCCACATTTCTTTTTCAGTGAGTCAGTGGGTGAGGGTATGCAAGGTCCACAGGAGGGCAGAACTGCTTCCTGGAACCTCTAGAGTTGCCTACTCTAGATCTAAGAGTAGGGCCAAACTGCCTGCTAGCCATCATTTACCTGTCAGCAGAAATCGCACTGTGGGTTAGATGATCATGTGTAAACTTCTTACTCTTTGTGGGGGCTGAAACCAAGATCCAGACTTTTTCTGCAGCTAAATTTCCCACAGTACAGATAGATTGTGAGGCTATTAGAAATGTTAAACTCTTAGTCCAAGTATCAGCTGGTTGGGTTGGATGGCACAGAAGTGGTCCATAAATGAGTAGCAGAGGGAGAAAGGACTATATAGAACAGGGATCTCAAACTCAATTTATCTGGGGGCCGCTGGAGGCAGAGTCTGGGTGAGGATGGGCCGCATTAGATTTTCCACCAAGCGGAGCAAGAGCCCGAGGAAGCCTCCCAGGAGTTTCCTTAGCACGGCTGGGGCACCGAGGAGGAGGAGGAGGGGTGTGTGAGCCCTCGTTGCCGGCCACTACTTCCTCCGGTTCCTTCTTCACTACCATTGCCACCAGCAGCAGGACGAAGAAGCAGAGGAGGGAGGGAGCACCGGCGACCGCCTAGCGGGGTGGAGGGCACGAAATAATTTTTTTTTAAAAAAAACCCTCACAGAATTCGCCTTCCCAAAGGAGAAAAGCCCCCACCGGTATCGCGTGGCGGCAGCTCGGGGAAAAGGGCCGGCAGCATGCCTCGCTGCTGTCAAGAGTCAAAAAAAGCCTCACCTCGCTCACTGGCTGTCTCCCAAGACAGCGCCTCTTGCACCCTCCATCCGGAACTGCAGCCTGCCAGCCGGCAGACAGACGGGCTGGCTGGGTGGCTGCAGTTCCAGATGGAGGGTGCAAGAGGCGCTGTCTTGGGAGAGAGCCGGTGAGCGAGGTGAGGCTTTTTTTGACTCTTGACAGCAGAGGACGCGTGGGCGCTTCGGGGGGGGAGGCAAGGCGGGGGGCGCAAACTATCGTCCGGCAGGCAGCAAATGGCCCCCGGGCTGCATGTTTGAGACCCCTGATATAGAAAGAACCTGGAAGAGAAAGGGGAGCAGTTCAGAGGCACCAGCAGGAACAGGATCTCTCTTTTTATCTTCAGTTCTCCCACTGCCCCATCCCCTTCACAAGGCTGGCTCCTAGTCTTGGGCAAAAGTGCCCTTCCTTCTAAGGTGTCAACCCTTTGGCACTATGGAACCACCTCCTGTTCTTAACGTGTTCTGTCTCTTTGTGTCAGGGGAACAAGGGCAAGACGGGCGTCATCGTAGCAGCCTACATGCACTACAGCAAAATCTCTGCAAGGTAATGAGCAAGGGAGAGCATATGGGTGGCAGGCTGGGGTTGGGGGTAGAATATAACCTTTCTTTGAAGATGGTTTCCTCTTCCCTGTACATGCATCTCCCTCTCTCTCCATTGTCCAGAATTGCTTTGCTTGGTTTATAACAGATACAACACAGCTTCGGTGTTCAGTGTCACCCAGGATCAGCACATCTAAAGATTTATTTCATTTCATTTCGTTTATATTCCAGCTTTCTCACCTAGGGGACCCAAGGCGGCACACAATAAATAAAACTGTACAATAATAAGTTTTAAATCCTATTAAAAAAACTATATTTAAAAAAAGTTAAACATTAATGAAGATTTACAACATTTTAAGAACATTTTAAAAACCATTAAAATGTTATCTAAATTGCACAAGAGAGTGTTCTGTAGAAACACAGAATACCGTATGTGTTTCTACACATATTCTGTGTATCTAAATTGCACAAGAGAATGTTCTGTAGAAACACCCCACCACCACACACATATTGCCTAATAACCTGCTTGAATAATTCTGTGTATCTAAATTGCACAAGAGAATCTAAATATCTAAATTGCACAAGAGAGCGTTCTGTAGAAACACCCCACCCCCACACATATGTATTGCCTAATAACTTGCTTGAATATTTGTTTGTTTGTTTGTTTGTTTGTTACCACACTAAAAGATGGTAAACAAGCAGCACCAAAAATACATTCAAAGCAGTAAGGCACAACCATCTATTAAAGTGTGCTGCTTATATACTGCCCCATAGCACTTCAAGCACTCTCTGGGCAGTTTACAATTTAATTTTGCAGGCTACACATATTAAAAAACCCCACTCAGGCCATGGAAGGATAAGAGGGAGGAGGCCAACCTAGCTTCACCTAGCAGCTCCTTCCAAAGCCTGGGGGCAACCACTGAGAAGGCCCTCTCTTGTGTCCTTACCAAACAAGCTTGGGAAGGTGGTGGAAGAGATAAGGACACATGGGTTCTGATGTGCCTCTTCCCTTTGTTCTTCCTGTAGTGCAGACCAGGCCCTCAGCACATTGACTATGCGCAAGTTCTGTGAGGACAAGGTGGCGGCATCTTTGCAGCCCTCCCAGAAGAGGTGAGATGTGCACTCACTTTCCATACCTCTACTCTGTTTGTGGGTGTGTCTTGTAAGGGCATTATATCAAGCCATTGCAGGAAAGGATAATGAGAGCTTTTGTGAGAGATTGTGTTTGCTCATGGTTTGGAGGGTTGGTGTGAGGGTGTGTCACTTCCCTGCCAGCCTGTCCTGGGCTTCCCCCATCCCCAAACCTACCCAGTCCATAGGAAAAAAGAGGATTATTTCCAGAATGTGCTAAAATATCCTGGACCTTCTATATATTGTTAATTTATAACTCTCATCATTGGCCAGGCTGCAGGGGCTGATGGTCACTGAAGGCCAACAACATGTGGATAAACACTGTTACCCCAGCCTTGTATTAAACCATGTAGCATTACATACCTGTCTGGCGCTTGCAGGTTTTATTGGTACCCAATCCCGAAGGCAATGTTTCTTCATACTCTACTACTTGGCTCTGCATAGGAAATGAAAGGGTTGAGGAGAAGCATTTCCCCCCTCCTCTCTGGCATGCTGTTTTTCTAGGTGTGGAAGTGTTTTCGTTTTCTTTGAAAATGTTCCATTATGTGGTACACACCGACTCCTCACTTTGAAGTGGTACAGTCCAAACACAGGCTTTTCCCCTTTCTGGATAAGGTTAGTGGAGGATGGATAAGAAAGAGAAACTTAGAAAACAATAGGTAGCAGATAAAGTAGATGCCTATACGACTATCTCTCTAGAAGTACCAAATTTCTTTTACAGTTGCAATCAAGATTATGCAGCCCACATTGCAAATCAGGTTTGTTGTCAACATTTACAGGCTTTCAGCTGTTTGCAATGAACAAATCAAACAAAAGCCATTGAAACAGCTCGACACAACAAATGTTTGTCCCTCAAATTTATCTGAATATGCAACTGTTAATGAATTCTGCAGGCTTGAAATTATGCAGCCCCCTGAATACAGTCCCTCACAACACCACAAATATGCAAAGGTGTTGTCTCAAGCACACCTGATGCAGCAAATCAAGGGCATCACTGGTTGTGCCAGGTGTGCTTGAGGTGGGACACATGAAACACCTGGACCGGCTAGGGGTTTGGTGAGTCTCACATTTGACTGCATGCTAGAAATATGGCTCAGTCAAAAGAATGGTTCAGAAAGTTAAGAGAAGAAATCATCACCCTTCATAAGCAAGGAACAGGATACAAAAAGATAGCAAAGGCACTGAATGTTCCCAGAGACACCGTTGGAAGCATAGTTTGCAACTTCAAAGTTAAAGGGACAGTGGTTACACACTACCTGGGCAAGACAGAAAAAGGAAGCTCTCAATGGCTACAGTCAGATTTCTGAGAAGGCAGGTTGAGAAAAACCCTTGAGTGACTGCAGAAGCCCTGCAGCAAAACTTGGTGGCAACTCGCGTGAGGTTTCAGTTTGCACAGTAAGGTGCACACTAAACACAGAAGGTTTCCATACCAGAATTCCAAGATGTACACTACTAGAGACCCAAAAGCACAAAAACCATTGGTTCCAATATGTTCAAAATCATATAAATAAGCCGTACACTACTAGAGACCCAAAAGCACAAAAAACGTTGGTTCCAATATGCTCAAAATCATATAAATAAGCCACAGAAGTTTTGGGATTCTGTTCTGTAGAGCGGTGAAACAAAGCTGGAACTTTTTGGCCCGATGGATCAGCGTTATGTCTCAAGGAAGAAGAATGAAGCATATGCTGAAAAGAACACTCTGCCTACAGTTAAGCAGGGTAGTGGATCGGTGATGCTCTGGGGCTGTGTGAGGGTTCGGCTTTAGGCTTCTCTTTCAGTTCAAAGGAATCAGTAGATTTTTGTTGCTTCAAAACAGGTGAAAGATTTATTGGTGCATTTAACAATAAACAAGTGTCTGCGACATGATTATGAGTCTTTTCTCCTTCTGCCAATGGGTCTGGAAGGGGTCTCCAATCTTCTAACCCATTAACGGGTTGCCATGAATGTTGTTCCATGGGCCTGGTAAATCAGAAGGGACCCAATCTTTCACGGTCTGCCCCGTCGAACCTTTCAGGAAGGACACAGTCTCGTCATCCCGATTGCTATTCCACAGGGTTCGTCCCTTGGGGTCTTGATCCTCCCAGAGTCCTCCCTGTAGTTCTTCTTCCTCATATCTCTTATTCTCCATTCTAGCCTCTCTCTCCTTTCTCTCTCTGCTCTTTCCTTCTCTTTTCTCCCTTCTTCTTGTGTAATCTGCCTCCTCTTTAGGGACTCTCATCTGCTTTAGGCACTCTCATTCTCTCCCATGATCCTGTCCAGGGATCCTCTATTCACACCCATTCCCAGTCTGGTGGCAACTGCCCCCCCCTTCCTTTTTACCTCCCCTGTTCCTGCCTCAAACTCCACCCTCTTCTTCCTCTCTCTTTTCCCGCCTTTTCCTCCTGGACCTCTCTCATTGTCACACCCTGCAAGTTCTCAGTCAACTCCTCTGTTTCTGTCCCTGGCTGAGCTTCTGCCACAGGTTCTGGTCCTGGCTGGGGACTCTCCTCCTTATTCTTGTTGTGGGGGAGGGATGGCTCTCCAGTGAGTGGGGCATCCCTCTTGCCTTCGGTCTCCCAGGTTGCTTTGCATTTTGTGGCACTGGAAACTTGCAGTGTCTGGAAGGCGAGAAGGATTCATTGAATTATCAGGAAATCCTAGGAGAAAGTGTCATGACATCTTGTGAGGACGCTGAAGCTTGGGCATCATTGGACCTTCCAACAGGACACTGATCTGAAACATGCCTCAAATTCCCCTCAGGCTTGGCTGCAGAAGTCCTGGAAGATTCTGCGGTTGGCATCACAGTCACCTGACTTGGATCCCCTAGAAAATCTCTGGTGGGATTTGAAGAAGTCAGTTGCCGTACGCAAACCCAAGCATATTATTCAACTGGAGGCCATTGGTCATGAGGAATGGGCTAAGAAGATTCCACAGGAATAGTGCCAGAAACTGGGGCCTGGCCATGCATCTTGTTTGCAGCAGGTCATAACCGCAAAAGGGTGCTCTTCTAAGTACTTAAGATGCTTGCCATGAAAGGGTTGAATAATTATAAGACAACAGAATTCATTTAAAGTTGCATTTTCTTTTGAATTTGGAGAAACCACTTGAAGCATTGGTTGTGCTGAGCTATTTCAATCACTTTTGTTTGATTTGTTCATTGCAAATTGCTGAAAGACTGTAAATGTTGACAATAAACCTGATTTGCAATGGGGGGTGGAATAATTTTGAGTATAACCGTATATATTACCTAGGGGAGTACCTAAAAGTGTCTCTGCTTTCTCCCTGTGGACAGGTACATCCAGTATTTCAGCGGGCTCCTCTCAGGCACAATCAAGATGAACAGCAACACGCTCTTTCTGCATCATGTCCTGCTTCCTGCTATTCCAACCTTTGAGGCTGGAGGAGGTAAGGGGCTGTAACGAAGTTCTTCTGCAGCCGGGGGTGGGTGGGGGGTGGCGCTCGTCGTAAAGGCGGGAAAAAGGACTGGAGGCTGTTCTGAGTATTCAACATTAACTTCTTTATTTGTAACAGCATTAAGTTCAACAGTGTCAAACGGGTCCAATAAACTTATTTCTGGTAAAACTTTATACTTCTTAACTCTGACTTCGGGATTTGTTCTGCTTTCTCTCAAAAGGGAGCCGGGCCAAAACGCTCCTTGTCTGTCAGAGGTCTCAGAGGGGTACTCCGCACCGCGCAGACCATCCCACAACACGGGTGCCGAGCCCAGTCCCCCTCGGGTGGTTTCTGTAGAAAAGAGGGACCAAGACGGATCACCCTCTGTCCCCCAGGATGGTTTTGGGGGTAGACGACCACTGTCCATTGTAGAGGGTCAAACCCACGTCCCTTTGTACCAGCTAGTGTTGGATCAGGCAACAATCCTCCTCCTACTTGTAGATTTGGAAAGTCCTTCAGGATCCCGGTCGCCTCTCCATAGTCTCGCATGGGTTCAGTCTGCACCCCGCGACTTAAACTGAATATTTGTAGATTTGGAAAGTCCTTCAGGATCCCGGTCGCCTCTCCATAGTCTCGCATGGGTTGAGTCTGCACCCCGCGACTTATGGTTCGTCCCAACTCCCCGTCCGTTGTCAAACTGAATACGCGCGCATTTTCCTCCCCTTTTATCTCCTCCCACAATATTAAATCTAACTCCTCCCCTCCTTCATCCACCAGACACACTTCTGCCGGTTTCTGTGGTATCACTTCCTCCTGGTCTATTTCTATCAATATCCCTTCAGCACATCCGCTTTCTGTCACTGGGCTCTGTGACTCGGAGGACGGCACAAGTGCTCTTCCGGCCTTCTCAGGGGCACAAGGCTGTAGAGCCATAACTGGAGAATCTGTCCTCCTCACCCCTTCTCCTTGTGGGTGCACAACCTATGCGTGTGTCCAAAACATGTGTCTGATCTTGCACATTGCTCGTGTATGTACTTGCGTCTTTCATCCTTGGTGGGGAAAGAGATGTTTTGGTAACCAACTAAAAGACCAGAAAAGTTGCTTTTTCAGATTACCTCTCCTCAAATTCTTCCAGGCAGAATGGTTGAAGGTCACGCTGACTAAGGGATCCTGGAAGTGTATTCCAAAATCATCTTCTCTTAAGTTCTGTTTCCACCATAGAACTTTGCGGAAAAAGTGCCTTCTCAAAGTCCTGGTTCCACTGTAGAACTGTAGCGTTTTTTCCAGCCTGTGTTACTTAACTCATTTTTCTTCTGCTAGGTTACCAGCCTTTCCTGAAGATTTACCAATCCATGCAGCTGGTCTACACCTCTGGAATCTAGTAAGCATGAGTTTATTCTCAGTTGGGAAAACACCCTGACATTCAGTGGCATCTCTTTGTGACTAAGATCTGAGCTTTGCTTTTGTTCCTCTGTGTCTTGTAGCAGCCTCCATGGTTCAGGTGGGACTCAGAAGATCTGCATCACCCTGGAGCCAGCCTTACTTTTGAAGGGAGATGTCATGGTGAGTACTGCTGGCCACTCAGGTCCAGCAATGTTTCAAGAGATCTGCATCACCCTGGAGCCAGCCTTACTTCTGAAGGGAGATGTCATGGTGAGTACCGCTGGCCACTCAGGTCCAGCGATCTTTGAAGAGACAAAGATCCCTCTCTCTCTCTCTCTCTCTCTCACACACACACACACACACACAACACACAAACACGCACACAGAGAGAGACAGACACACAGACACACAGACACACAGACATTCTCTCTCTCCTCTTTAGAGAGAGAGAGAGAGACAGACAGACAGACAGACAGACAGACAGACAGACATTCTCTCTCCCCACACTCCTCTTTCCTCCTCCTTTTTTTCTGGGAACAAAACATAAATATTTGGGATAACATCAACCTACAGCACATAGTAAGACATCATCACATTATATTTTTTTGTGGTCTTGCCTCATGTGCAAGTGACTATGGGCAGTGAAGGTACAGAATTTTAGACCAATGGAATTATCATGTTGCCCTTCATGCTGGATTACATATTAACATGTGGAACCCCACTGTGTGGTCAGATGGGAATAACTGCAGGATAGCAGGGAAGGACTTACAGTCTTTTTGTTTAATATTGGAGGAATTTCTTAAGGCTTGGGGAATCCTTATTGAGGTAGCTCATTATGCCACAACAACCCACACAATAAAGGATTTTGCATCCCTTTTTTTATAAAAAGTATTATTCCATGATGGTAATTCTGTGGGGGTTTTTTTAAAAGAAAAAAATAATTGCTTAAGTCATCTGCCTTACATGCCTGATATTTCCAGAGAATTAAAAGTGCTGCTGTTTGTACTGTCCATGTTAGACTCTCTTTTACTGGTGATGAGCAGGAATTGTGTGTTTTTATAGTCAGTGTGAAAAAATATACAGTGTTTCTTTGACTGAAAATGACTATAATGGGGTGCAATGGAGCCAAGAGGGGGCGTTTGTGTACATTACCCTGGGTAGCAGTGTCTCCTTTGCCAAGCCATTGGCAATGCCATTACAAAGCTCTTATCTGTAATTAGCCGGCTCAGCACTTCACAGGAGTTTGAAAAAGATACCAATGCTGGAGGCTTTAAAACACAATGCTGTGCATGGCCTGGCCAGTTAGAACTGAGCTCAACAGGACTTCCTTCCAGTTAAGCATGTAAAGGGTTTTCAGCCAAACTCTCTTTCAGTTTGATTGTCCAAAATAAGTTTTATCTTAGATAGATAGACAGACAGACAGACTATGTAGTTTTGTATTGCTCGATTGTTTTTAGTGCTGTTGTGTTTTTAGTATGTTGTAAACCATCTAGCATAATGTATTGCGCTAATGGGTGCAGTATATTAAATAAATATATAATTTTTTTTAAAAAAAAGCAGACGTGTTTAATCTTTCAGAACCCTGCGTAAAATTCAATGCAGTTTAGGAACGGGTACCATAATTTAAAAACTGATTTAACGTATTTCTGAATGGTCCCAGGAGGCACTGATGGGTAACTGAATGAACATTTTGTGCATGTATGTGTTTTATTTTTATTTTTATAGTTCTTACGTGTGCTATATATTCTTTAATAAAATTTTAAAATTCAGATTTAAAAAATCAGTGTAAAGTATTTGATACTGGATTCTTTAGAGCCTGGGGCCGTGATTACCCATACTATGATGTGCTGATCTGGTCAGTGAAGAGAATTGACAGAAAAAAACACTGATTTATGCAATGTGGTGTTGGGGGAGAGATTTACAGATACCACAGATTACCAGTTTGAGTCAATTACAGAAGCCACAGCTGTTCAACTGCCAGACCTAAGCAGAGCTGATAATGATAGGACCTTTTGGAAGTTATGAAGTCAAAAGCAACTTTATTACACAGAACAATGATATAATCTCTTTAACTGAGAAAAATTCTTCCTCCCATTGTTTTTTTTTTTAAATCTGAAGCAAAGACATGGAGATATGCATAAAATCTACAGGTTAAAATGAGTTAGAGTCTGACTGTGTCTGTTCTTGCCAGATATTAGAAAAGTTAAATTTTTAAGACCCACAATGGTTTTCTGGTTGATTCCTACACTATCAGGTCCCTGATTGTCCAGACTCCTATCCAATATGTGTGAGTGGAGCAGGGTAGTGGTAGAAGCGCACATTCTCACTAGGACAGAAGCTGTCCCCTCTAACAGCTCTTCTTATCGATTTCCTCTTCTTCCGCCCAGGTGAAATGCTACCATAAGCAACTCCAAGGAGCTGAGCGGGATGTTGTTTTCCGTGTCCAATTCCACACTTGCACCATCCACACCACCCAACTTTGGTTCAGCAAAGATGAGCTGGATGAAGCCTGGAGAGGTGAGAGGAGACACCTAACTCTCGAAACTCTCGAATCGTAGGCTGTGATGCCGTCTCTTCATGATCTATTTCTGAGGCAGGCAGTGTTTCACAGGGGCTTGACCTCTTCACCTCTGTTTTCCCTTCCCAGATGAACGCTTCCCCTTCGAAGCAAGCGTGGAATTTGTCTTCTCCTCCAGCCCAGAGAAAATCAAAGGTGGGTAGCTGGGTGGGAATTGGGGAGAAATGTAAGTACTGTAGTTCTATTTTCAAAAAACTGTTCCCTTAGTTCTCAAAACCTAAGGGGGAGGGCATGATGTGGCGGGCAAGCACAGAAGGCAGCAACCTTTCTGAATCTAAGCAGGACTGGATCAGGTTAGTGTGTAAGGTGGGATTAGGGTGGGAGATGGGTAACCAAAGGGCTCATAAAACCCCCTTCCTTCCTTCCTTCCTTCCTTCCTTCCTTCCTTCCTTTTCTATCCATCATAAGAGGAAGCTATTGAAACTCAGTTGCTGTAGTACATGCTGAATCTTGACAGTGACAGGAATGCAGCTCTCCGTAGAATTTGTATATGTGTGTGTGTGTGCGCATGACTTGATTTAGTTGGGATACTACCTGGGAAGTCTGCATAAGCCACCTTCAGTGCCACATAAAGTCAGGTATACTGTAAATGTGTCACCAATATTGAAGGAGGAACTGATAGATCTGGATCACTTGTGACAAGTGTGTCCCAGGAAAGCAAATATTTCCTTCTGTCCTTTCTTTATATTTGCAAGGGTTGGGGCTGTGTCTAATCCACCTTCCACACTGGCCCAGCAGCATGGTCGTGGCACAGTGGCACAACTAGAGATGTTAAGCCCCCACTCCCACAGGGCACAAACCAACAACCAAACTGGTTCACGGTTTGATTTTCTAGTCATTTCATGGTGGCTTGTAGTTCATGCAGCAGCATCAAGAAAAGAAGATGCTGGTTTAGCTGGCTAGTTGAAGTGCAGCCTGCCTCCTTAATTCTCCCCCGGTGCCTCTGATGCCATGCTATTCAGGATCAGTGCTTTGTCAGAGCCTTAGACCCACTGCAGGAAATTAAAATGACAGGCACCCAACCATATTAGCCTGGGCTCCAGCTCTGGAAGAGGCACAAGAAGTGCAAGGCTGGGTGGCTGCAGCTGGATCTTCGGGTCAGTCTGATAGAGTGAGCGATGAGTCCTCATGGTAGGGAAAGGGGATGGTTCAGGCCAATAGCAGCTGCCTGACAATGCTGGACCCTGGGCTTGTGGTCTTACAGAACAACCAGTAATACTGAAATACATAGAACCCCACCTTACTGATATCCAAAGGTTGATGTGCTACTATCAGTTTCCTGGTTTGACATGTGAAAATAGAAGCATGTTATTAAATTAGAATTAAAATGAAAAATTAGAAAGGATTGTAGCAGAGCAGATATATTCTTTTTCCTACTGGTTTTCTGTGGTTATCTTCATTTCCTCTCACAGGCCGGGAGACTTACAGAAACAATGCTGCCATTGCCGTGGACTACAGTATCTCTGATCCTGTAGTGCGCTGGGACTCCTATGAGAACTTCAACGTACATCACGAGGATAGCCTGGAAGGTAAATAGAGTCCAATCCCTGGAAGGTTTTCTCAGAGTCCCATCATAGGACTTAGATCCTTGTTACTCCATTCTGTTCTGTTGCTTGATTGGGCATAAACCCAGCAAGGGAAAAAGACCCATTTGGTGCTGGATGCAGAAACTGGCATTGAGAGAAACTTAACTTCTCAAGTTTCTAGTTCTTAAAGCTGCAAAAATGAGTTTGAAACTGGTTGATGCCTACTGAAACAGCAGAAGGAATGCTGTAGAATTTGATTTTAGTAAGCTTAGTTGTTCAGAAGCCAGGGCTTCAAATGTGTTGCCTTTTATGAACAGAAACAGCAACTTATGCAAAGTACCTGGAGATACGTTTCAATCCTGCATTTAAGAATTAAAGCAAGTTACACATTTACCATGTCTTTTTGTAAAGGTTGCTTGATTGGGCATAAACACAATCACTGGGCAATGGAAAAATACAGCACATCCTTTTCCTCTCCCATTTGTCTTCTCCTAAGTGTGCTAGCTTTTGTGATTGGTCAATAGAAGGCAAACATGGGCTTAATTTGCAAGTCTGGTGGTGGAAATGGCTGAATAGTGGGAAACACTGTACTAATTTGTCTTAATGCTTAGTTTGACATTCAGTGTTAGGGTACTGAGATTCTAGTGGAATGGTGTGGAATGTTGGTTATCTTGCCACATAATTATGGGTTTTTAAAGCACAATCAAGAGAGATGGGGAGAAGAGGGAGAGAGAGAGGTAAGCAAGCTTGTATGTACAATTGGCCACTGTTTGGATTTTATTTCATTTTTTATTAAATTGCTTTAGACAGATTCCTGCTGTTGGATGTTGACCCCTTTCAGATGTTAGCTGAGGCCTCTTCCAAGTCTGTGCTGTGGTATAGTTTAATTGTCAAATTGGGATGTAGCAGAGGCCTCTGTTTTGATGTGCTAGTAACCAAAGAAGAGGGGAAAGGAAATGAAAAATCCCTTGTTTTTTTTTAAATGGGTAGTGAGAGTGACACACACACACACACACACACACACACATATACAGAGAGAGAGAGAGAGAGAGAGAGAGAGGAATTTTTCCTCCCGGCAGACACACCTCTGGAGCACAGTGGCTTTTTTTGCTCCCAGGAGCAGTAACTCCAACAGCTGGTTTGTGCTCAGTCCACCCTGATTACAGTTTCCTCCTAATGTCCCCTTAAAGTAAACTCTTTAAAGAACTAAAATAAATAAAATACCAACTGGAGTCATTTAATACTTGAGGCATGTCTGAGTCAGATACCAGAAAAAAAAGTCCCAACAGGATGGAGTAAAATTCCCTCCTTCTTCCCAGTAAAATCTGGTATCTGGAGAAAAGAGGATTTGTTTTCGAATGAGGTTTGTATAGAGAAAGAGACCTATAAATTTTAGAGATGGAACCGAGTGGGGTCAGATTAATGCAGGGATGTGCAATAGGGTTATGTGTATACAGTATGTATAGATAAACATATACACATGGAAGGAAATGTGTTCTTGGCCAAGGACCAAGGGATCACCAGCCCTTTTCTGGATTAGGCCTAAATAAATGTCAGCATACAGACTCAGCCTTTCATATCTTATCACACAAATCCTGCTATCGAAGGGTATTAGTCCTACCATAATAGAAATCAATAGCTCAGGTTTTTGAAAAAGAGATTTATCTGTTTATCAACGTAGCGTTACTATAACCACAGATCTTGGGGTAACTTGAAAACTAACAATATCTAGTGCTATAAGCTTTTTTGGATCCCAGCCACATCTTCCGATGCAGGTGGCCTGGAGTACTTGAAAGCTCGTGTCAATAAAAGGGTAGTCTTTAAGGGGCTGTATGACTGCCGTTTTTGCTACAACAGACTAATACAGCTGTGTTGCTATTTACTGTCAAGTCATTTCCAACTTATAAGGAGCCTGTAAATTCATAACCTCCAAAATGTCCTGTCATTAACAGCCTGCAGATGGAAAGAAGTGGTTTCCTTTCTTGAGCCAACTTTAGTGGAGTAGCTAACACTGCAGTCATTGCTACATGGACCAGCTAACATAGTTACCCACCCACCCAACCACCCCGCCAGATATGGTTGTTACTGTCATAAGTTTTAAGGACC